CCAGCCTGAAGATGACGAATGTGACTTCGTCGAAACGTTGCCAAGACACTTCCAATTTTACGCGGGAGAAAACCCGAACAACCAAAGACCTATATACAAATACCCGCGAAAACCTCAGAAAACAAATATCGAACCTCTACGGGGAGGAAATCCACCATCTGACCAGGACCTATGAAAAACTTGAAGTCCAAAGAGCTTCCATTTTATGTGACCTCGCATTCCTACGTAACTGCCGAGATCAAAATCTAATCCCCACATGTTTCCAACTGAAATTCCACTCCAACTCTGCAGCCACCAAACGGATCCTGAAAAGAACAGAATTGGCCCTAATCAGAAATGAACTTCACACAAAAAGATTCCTCCTAGACCGAATTAACAAAGATCTCCTCACACTCCACCTCAAACTCAGCAACAAGATCCACCCCGCACTTTGGGACAAATCCAAACAACTCGCCGTCTGGAGAGCCGAAACACAGACCACCCTCAAGACAGATACACACACCAACAAACTCCGAAGACTACAAGAACGCCAGAAACAAACCCCTCCTCCCTCACAGCCACACATGAAACAAACAGTGCATAACATCTCAGATAGGATCCTCACCAAAGCCGAAACCAATGTCCTTTCCAAAGGATTCAACTTTGCAGTCGCTCCCAAACACATCCCCACTGAAACCATTATATGTGAAGTTGAAACCAGCCTGACCAAAATCAACCCCGATGACGCTAACAAAATCAGACTCAAAATCACCAACATCCTCTGCACCAGCAAGCCACCCAAAAGCAACTTACCCAAAGAGGAACAGACAGCACTACGTAACCTGAAAGAAGACACCAGCATAATAATCCTACCAGCAGACAAGGGCAACGCCACGGTGGTTATGAACACATCTGACTACCAAACCAAATTAACCAACCTACTCCAAGACTCCACATACAAACCCCTAAATACAGATCCCACCACCTACCTGGAAAAAACCACCAGATCCAAAATAAAAGCCTCCCCCATTAGCGAAGAGATCCAGCAAAGAATCATTCCTAGAGAGAAATCATCCAGATGCCCCAAACTCTATGGTCTCCCCAAGATACACAAAGAAGGAACCCCACTCAGACCTATAGTCAGCTCCATAGGCTCACCTCTACAACAACCTAGCCAAATTTCTCGCCAAACAACTACAGCCCTATGCGAATCCATCACCTCACACGTAAATAACTCATCCAGTTTAATAGAGATCATAAAGAAACAAAGCTTACAGCCCAGCGACCTACTAGTGAGCTTCGATGTCATATCCCTCTTCACCCAAGTGCCTATCAAAGAGCCTTGACAGCTATTCAAAACAAATATACCCCCCCAAACACATCTTAGATCTGACCAGCCACTGCCTTCCAACACATACTTTCATCTATAACGGACAAAAATACAAACAACAGAAGGAGCACCCATGGGATCACCCCTCTCACCTGTCATTGCAAACCTCTATATGGAACACTTTGAAACCCAAGCGCTAGAAAAATCGGATCACAAACCCAAACTCTGGCTCAGATACGTAGATGACACCTTCATAATCTGGCCACATGGGAAAGAAAAACTGGACAACTTCCTCACACACCTCAACAGCCTACACCCCAAAATACAGTTCACCATGGAAACAGAAGCTAACAACCAACTTCCCTTCCTGGATGTCTTAGTCTACAAGAAATCCAATGGCTCCCTAGGACACACCATCTACCAGAAGAAAACACACACAAACCGCTATCTGCACGCTCTCTCACACCACCACCCAGCACAGATCAACTCTGTAGCCAAGACACTCATCTCCAGAACAAAACGCTTAGCTGACGAACAACACCTAAAACCCGAACTACACACTCTCACCAATGTACTAACATCCAATGGATTCCATAGAAATAAGATTACAACCTAATCCAAAAAGAAACCCCCACCAAAATCCAAGACAAAAAACAAGAAAACGGCAAAGCCCTCCTCCCATACATAAAAGGCACCACAGACAGAATCAGTAAGATCCTTCATAAACACAACATCAAAACAGCATTCTGCACAAACAGAAAAATATCCCCCATCCTTAGAAACCCCAAAGATAAAATTGAATTAGAAAATCAAGGAGTATACGAAATCCCATGCACCACTTGTCCCACCACATACATCGGACAAACCAACAGAAGAATAAGTGCACGCATTGAAGAACATAAGAACTCAGTCAAAAAAGAGGAACCAACATCTCCCCTGGTCCAACACCTTAAAGCCACAGGACACGAAATTGACTTTAAAAATACCAGAACCATTGCCAAAAGTGAACATTTTAATAACAGAATAATCAGAGAAGCCAGCGAGATAGAAAAACGCCCACACAGCATGAACAAGCGAGATGATACCTCCCGCCTACCAGCCATTTGGAAACCCGCCCTGATTGACAACACTCCCTAACCCAAATCTTAAACCCCTCTGCAACTCAGACTACCTGAGCGCAACCAAACAGACACTCCCGCCATCAGAGCAGCAGCCAAAGCCCCTAACCATTCGAACACACCTCGCCCATCAGAACACAGCCAGCTCCAATCCAATCAGTTTCATCCCTCACTGGCAGTTAAAAGAGAAACAGCTAAAAGCCACACATTGCTTGCTCAAAGCAAGAAGCTAAAAATCACCAGCCTGCAAGATGACGAATGTGACTTCGTCGAACGTTGCCAGACACTTCCAATTTTTAGCGCGGGTTAGAAAACCCGAACAACCAAGACTCTATATACAAATACCCCGAAAAACCTCAGAAAACATATTATATCTATATATATATCTGAGGTTTTCGCGGTATTTTGTTATGTAGGTTGCTTTGGGTTTGGGTGTTCTCCCGCGTAAAATTGGAAGTGTCTGGCGACGTTTCGACGAAGTCCCATTCGTCATCTTCAGACTGGTGTTTTCAGCTTCATGCTTCGAGCAGCAATGTGTGGTCTTAGCTGTTTCTTCCTTTTAACTGCCAGTGGGGGTATGAACTGATTGGGTGGGAGCTTGGCTGTGTTCTGATTGGGTGGAGTGTGTTCTGATTGGTTAGGGGCTTGGCTGTGCTCTGATTGGCTGGGAGTGTTTCTGTTTGGTTGTGCTCAGGTTTAGTCTTGAGTTGCAGAGGGGTTTGAGATTTGGCTGCCTTGCTTATTTTTTGGCTTCGCGTTCGTGGTCGTGCCTCATCTTCATGGAGGGTGTCAGTTTGCTTCATGTATGGATTGGAGGGGTTTAAAGTGGCTAATGATGTAGCTGTGGTCCGGTTTCTGGTTTGTGGTCGTGCCTCATCATCGGTGTGGCTTTGGTTTTGCTTTTTGCGTGGATGTGTGGTGGTGACATCCTGTGTGGTTTTTGTGAGTGTGGGTCTGGTATCCTTTTTTGTGTTAGTGAGTCGTTTGTCAATAAGGGCGGGTTTCCAAATGGCTGGTAGGCGGGAGGTATCATCTCGCTTGTTCATGCTGTGTGGGCGTTTTTCTATCTCGATGGCTTCTCTGGTTATTCTGTTATTAAAATGTTCACTTTTGGCAATGGTTCTGGTATTTTTAAAGTCAATTTCGTGTCCTGTGGCTTTAAGGTGTTGGACCAGGGAAGATGTTGGTTCCTCTTTTTTGACTGAGTTCTTATGTTCTTCAATGCGTGCACTTATTCTTCTGTTGGTTTGTCCGATGTATGTGGTGGGACAAGTGGTGCATGGGATTTCGTATACTCCTTGATTTTCTAATTCTATATATAGATATATATATATATATATATATATATATATATATATATATATATATTAATTACAAAATATAAATGGTGCATGATATTGTAATAATATCTTCATCTATCAATATTGTTGAAATGAAGATCAAATATCTATTTTTTGAAATTTACTGAGAAAGTCAAAAATTTCAGTGGGTTGTACTTACTTTTCATGACTATGCATGCCATCCACAATTAAACTGATGGATAGTGTTTATACTAAATTTAATTATTTTTTTCTAGGTAAGAGAAATAATTATAGTTTTAATTTCATAGTAAAACTACTATAGATAAAATAAATATTGTTAGCTTTTTATTTTTATTTTTTTGTTGGGAAGAGGGAATAAGAGTGTTAATAGATACTTAACAAATATTGTAAGTTTATTTACGGTATTATTAATTTAATTAATTGGAGATGAATAGAGTGGCCTAGGTAAGACTCCCATTTGCTTTCTACCAAGTTTTTGACAGTGGTATAGGAAAAAAATGCTCTAGTTTGAAGTATCATTTTTAGACAGTAAAAAGTATTTGCTATTCTCCTGCCTTCTGTATTATTGTGCATTATTTTTATTTTCATTCCTAGAACTAAAATTAGATTCAGATACACTTTCTTCATTTAATGTTTGAACTATTTACACCTTTAATTGTAGTGAATGTATGATGTAAGCATTTATTCTTCAGAATTCTTATAAAGTTTTAAATCTTATATCTCTTTAATGAAATTTCATATTGAGACTTGCACTAAAAATTAACGTGAACCTTTCCTGATTTCATAAAGTACAAGACTTTGAATAGAATAGGTTGGAAAGATAATTATTTTATTTTTGATTAGTTCAGTGGTATATGAAAGAGATAAAAGGGAATTATTTCCAATGTAAGTAAAATATATATACTACTGATTTTATTTTCTCCAAGTTTGTCTTTTATCATGTTTCTATTTCAGTTTAAAAACAAAAAAAATATCTTCTGGCTTTTGCTAAGAAGATGAAAGTCAGAACTGTATGTTCATAATCTCTTCTACATTACTTTAGACCATAATGTAGTATTCTATTGTAAAAGATAAAATTATTGATTTCTCAAAACTAAGATGAAAACCATATGAAATAAGCATCCTATTGATATACTATATTTCTATAAATAATCAGTTACAGCATTAAAAAGATGTATTAATGGCATGTTGTTTCGAATTGATAAAGTTGATGAATTTTATCAGTAGTTTCACAAAATCCTTCTTTCATAGGCTTTGAAATAGATACTTCAGATGACTTTGGCAGGACTTGCCTTCATGCAGCTGCAGCTGGAGGGTTTGTATTTTTGTAGTTTAAGAAAGTTTTAAATTTTGGAAGTATCCTCAAAACATTACGTTCTACTAGAGGATTTATATATCTTGGGCTAGTCAGTTTCTCTCATTTCTAAGAAGGAGGCAATGGCAAGCCACTTCTGAAAAACCTTGCCAAGGAAACTGTAGGGATGCTTTAGATAGCTTCTGAGAATTGGACATAATTGGGTGAAAAGAAAAAAAAATAACCTTCTTAACATTATTGGCATAAACACATGGAGAAGTAATTATGCATAAGAAATTTAAAATATTAGAGAATTTATAGTGCTATTTTATAAAAAAAAGATTTCAGTAATTAAAGTCTGAGAGTCAAAGGTCATATCCTCTTTTAAAAAATATAATCAGATATTAACTCTCTTAATTTTCAGAAATTTGGAGTGCCTTAATCTGCTGCTCAACACAGGTGCGGATTTTAATAAAAAAGACAAATTTGGAAGGTAAGAAAGAATGCTACAAGGATAGCTCTATATAAATTTGCATATGGTGGTATAAATTGGAGGCTGTTTATGTTTAAACCAGGCATGTTCAACCTTTTGGTTTGTCTAGGCTACATTGAGTGAAGAGGAATTGTCTAATGTATATAAATGCACATAATAATATTAAAAGTTTATAATCTTGTGGGTCCCCATTACTAGCTGTCCATGGCTATATGGTTTAAGCTATGAAGGTGATCAGATTATTGTCCAAACAGGAATGTAGTTGCAACACAAGCCAAAAATGGTGTCACTTTACTACTAACTAACAAACTAACTAATTATATTTGTATTTCTTCATTCCTAACAGCTCTGACTTTAGAACATCTCAACAAAAATAGACCTATTAAAATCATAATTATCATAATAGGATCCATAAAGAATACAGAAAATATATGTCTGCCAGCGCATTCCAATATTCATGCTTTTTCCTTGGCTAAATAGAAAAGCCAGGTCTGTTTCCCTGAAATCCAAGAGAAAAGAGCTGACCATATTTACATACAAAAAACCCTCTAAAGAAGGGATGTCAAACTCAGAATGTCACGTGACATATTGTGACTTTTTTGCCATTGCCGGCAATGAGGTGGGCACATTTTGCTATGATGCATCCAGCTCACGGGCTGGCAGTTTGACACCCCTGCTCTAAAGCATCAGAATAGCAATTTTTTTAAAAAGCATTTTCTAAGTTCTGTCAAATGGCATTCTTAAATAAATGGGACCTGAGGGGAGTTTATTCTGTTTGATCAGTTGGACAGGCAAACAACTATGGGAAAAAGCAATCTTACAGATAACTAGAACCCAAGTTTGTAGGACTTAAAAGCAAAAACTAATATTTTGAATAATAACCAGAAGCCAACTGACAGCTAGTGTACTTCCAGAGCAGTGTAAATATCCAAATATAATGGGAAACACCAAAACAATATTAATTGATGCTTAATAACTTAGTAATTTTGAAAATTTAGAATAATATCATATTGTCATAATTGTTCAAACAAATGATACTATATAGAATAGAATAGAACAGAATAAAATAGAATATCTTTATTGTCTTTGTGTAACTCATAACGAAATTAAGTGCTGTCCACAGTGCACACTATAGACAAGTAAAAGCCACAAATAAGAACATACATTATATACACACATCCTTCACATTCTATTCATCATTGCACTGCCCCTAATATTGCACTTTAATGTTGCACTATGCATTGGTTTTTAATATGGTTACGGCTCTGGGATAAAAACTATTTTTCAGCCTATTTGTCTTTGTTTTTATTAGCTCATACCATCTGCCAGATGGTAATTGTTCAAAAAAAGAATGGGATGAGATGAGTCTTTAAGAATATTATGAGCTTTCCTAAGACAACGGAAACTATACAGTTTGTCCAGGGGTGGGGGAGAGTAAAGGGCAGCTAATAATCCTCTGGGCGATGGTAATGACCCTCTGGAGTTCTTTCCTATCTTCTATTGTGCAACAAACACACAAATGCAATAGGTTAGAATGCTCTCTATGGAGCAATGGTAGAAGATCACCAGCAGTTTTTCATTCACTTGTTGTTTCCTCAGAAGTCTTGAGAAATATAATCTCTGCTGGGCCTTCTTAACCAATGCTATAACATGAGCTCTCCAGGTCAGGTCCTCCTTTATGGTAACACCCAGAAACCTAAAGCTTGCCACCCATTCCACACAGTCTCCGCTGATGATCAGGGGCTGAACATCTAATCTATTCCTCCTGTAATTGTCTATAAGCTCCTTGGTCTTAGTTGTGTTGAGAACCAAATTGTCTCTGCACTACAAGAGCAACTGCTCCACCTCATCCTGATAGGCAGATTCATCCCCCTTGAAGATAAGCCCCGCCACTGTTGTATCATCTGCAGATTTAACAATAATATTGCTGGGATGAGTGGGGGTGCAGTCATAAGTGTAGGGGGTTTAAAGTTGGAGACTCAACACACAGCCCTATGGGGAATCCGTATTAATAAGGGCTGAAGAGATATAGTTGCCTAATCTAACCCTCTGAGAGCAGCCAGACAGGAAGCTCATAATCCAAAGGCAGATTGAATGTGAAAGTCTGAGATTGACAAGTTTAGACACCAGTATGTATGGAAGAATTATGTTAAATACAGATTTAAAATCTACAAAGAACATGCTTACATAGGTCCCCCGCTGCTCCAGATGAGTCAGACCAATTTGGAGAATGATAGCTATGGCATCCTCGGTGGATCTTTTTGCTCTGTATGCAAACTGGTGACATCAAGTGTGTATGGGAGGCAGGACACAATGTACCTGCAGACCAGTTTTTCAAAACACTTCATGATAATAGGGGTGAGTGCCACTGGTCTATATTCACTGAGGCTGTTAATAAAGGACTTAGAGGAGAGGTTGAGAACAATATTTATGAAAAAAATATTGATATGTATACTTGCTGATGAGGATGTAATTTAAACTTTTGTTTGATCAAACTTGATTACACCCTCTGCAGCCCAGGTGAGGTATCCTTTTTTACATTAAAAATTCTTCTAATTGAATTATACTTTATGGCATTAGATTCCGAAGTAAAGTATATCAGTAATGATCACAAAAATTCAGCTCATTGTGAAAGTAAATGAAATCTTTGTACTCCGTACTGGCTATGTCCTCTATATAGATCCATGAAAAGTACATTGTCACAGTATTTAAGCTGTGTATATAAATGATATGTATGTAATAGCAACAAAGAAGAAAAATAATAGCTCTCAAAAGAAACCAACATGGCTGCATAAAGAACTCTGTGATAAATTGAAAGACAAAAAGGACAAGTATAAAAAGTGGAAAGAGGAGTATATATCTAAGGCAGAATATCAGTAAATAGCCCGAGCCTGCAAAGATGAAGTGAGGAAAACTAAGGCTCAAAATGAACTAAGGCTTGCAACAAAAGTCAAAAATAACAACAACAAAAAAAGCTTCTTTCAACATGTAAAAAACAAGAAAAAAGTTAAGGAAATGATTTGTCCATTAGTAGGAGAAAGTACCAAGAAGGTGACAAGCAACAGGGAGAAAGCAGAACTACTCGACTTGTTTTTTGTATCCGTATTTACACAAAGAGAAAAAACAGTCCAACCTATGAAAAACAGTGCCATAAAAAACAGATTAGAAACACAAGTTAAAATAGGCAAGAAAATCGTAAGGGAGCACCTGTCCAAATTAGATGAGTTCAAATCACAAGGACCAGATGGATTATACCCAAGGTTCTGAAGGAACTGGCAGATGTGATCTCAGAACCACTGAGTTATATCTTTCAAAGATCCTGGAGTACTGGGGAACTACCAATGGATTGGAAAAGAGCTGGTTTGTTCCCGTCTTCAAAAAAGGGAAAAAAATGGATCCAGGAAACTACAGACGTATCATCCTAACCTCAATACGTGGGAAGATCTTGGAAGAGATGATCAAGCAACAAATCAGCGAACACCTAGAGGCAAACAAAGTCATTACCAAATGCCAACATGGGTTTGTCAAAAAACAGATCATGCCAGACAAATCTTACTGCATTCTTTGACTAGGTGACAAAATTAGTTGGCCAGAGGAATGCTGTGGATATAATTTACTTGGACTTCAGTAAGGTATTTGATAAAGCAGACCACAACCTATTACTTGATAAGATAGAAAAATGTGGGTTAGACAGCATCACCACCAGATGGATTCGTAGCTGGCTGACTGGCTGTACTCAACGTGTGGTCCTCAATGGAACTGCATCTACAGGGAGGGAAGTGTGTAGTAAGGTGCCCCAAGGCTCTGTTCTGGTCCTAGTGCCCTTCAACATCTTCATCAATGATTTGAATGAGGGAATAGATGGGGAACTCATCAAATTTGCAGACGACACCAAGCTGGCAGAAATAGCCAACACTCCAGAAGATAGGCTTAAGATACAGAAGGATCTTGACAGACTTGAACATTGGGCGCTATCTAACAAAATGAAATTCTTTTTTTTTAATGAAAGTTTTTTATTTTTTCCATATAAACATTATAAAAAAAAGTATACAATAAACATTATTACGACCTGCGCACTCCTCCCAGGCCGCGTCCACCCTCTCTTAAAACATTCCCTACTTCCCTCCTCTTTCTCACCTCCCATCCTACTCTCTTCCCCTCCCCTTCTCCTCTCACTACCCTACTTCCTCTCTACACTTGCCCATCTCTCATCCCTATCAAACCCATGAACGCAGCATAAGGGGAGAAATTCCCTCAATTGCATGTCTGGGAATCCCCCAGATAGGTATTTTATAATTCAATCTAAAATAATACTTTTTCCAAACACGAAGTAAGGCATTCCTCAAAATATGTAATTTAAAAATTCGATCAATTTTCTTATTGAAAATCAGGTATGCATGCCAACCATATATTAAGTCCCAACCTTCCAAAAACAGAATATCCTTATTTGTGAAGTTGAGCCAATCGCTTAACCAAGTTAAAGCGGCTGCATCATAATATAATTTCAAGTTGGGTGCCTTAAGTCCTCCTCTTTCTTGAGCATCCTGTAAAATCTTAAACTTAACCCTTGGTTTCTTTCCGGCCCATATAAAATTGTTGATACCCCTTTGCCATTCATCCAAATTTGCCTCTTTTTTTTAAATAGGTATCATCTGAAACAAAAAAAGAAACTTTGGTAGAACATTCATTTTTACAGCTGAAATTCTCCCCAACAATGACAATTGCAGTTTTTTCCAGTCTTTTAAGTCCTTTTGTACTTTTCCCCATAATGGTTCATAATTATTCTTATACAATTTTCCATTTGAAGCGGTTAAATATACTCCCAAATATTTAACCTTTTTTACCATCTGAAAACCTGTGGCTTTGACCAAACTTTCCCTATCCTTAACTAACATATTCTTAGATAATATCTTAGTCTTATAATTATTGACTTTAAAACCAGAGACATTCCCATACTGTGTTATAAGTTCTAATAAACAATCAATCGCTTGATTCGATTGTTCCAAAATTAAGACCAAATCATCCGCAAAAGCCCGCAATTTATACTCATTCTTCCTTATCTTTACGCCCTTAACTACTTTTGATTCTCGAATCTGAATCAATAAAATTTCCAACGTTAAAACAAATAACAATGGGGATAATGGGCATCCTTGTCTTGTCCCTTTTTCAATATTAAAATTCTCAGTCAATCCCCCATTTACAACGATTTGTGCGGATTGTTGCTGATATATAGCTTTAAGTGCATGTAAAAAATTATCCCCAAAATTCATTTTCTCTACCAATGAAAATAGAAATTTCCAATCTAATTGATCAAAGGCTTTTTCAGCATCCAAAAAGATAAAAGCCACAGGAATCTGATTATTCTTATCCAAGTATTCAATTAAATTTATAATTTGTCTAACATTGTATTTCATATATCGCCCTGTTATAAATCCTGCTTGGTCATTATGAATCAAGTCCTTCATAACCTGCATTAGTCTGTTTGCCAAAATTTTTGTAAAAATCTTATAATCAACATTTAATAATGAAATTGGCCTATAATTCTTAGGCTCTGTAAGATCCTGATCTTCCTTTGGAATCAGTGATATAAAAGCTCTTTTCCAAGAAGGAGGCACTTGTGTACCCAACATAATACTATTAAAAAGTTCCTTTAGAGGCTCCATCATTTCTTCAGATAAAGTCTTATAATACCTCGAAGTCAATCCATCTGTTCCCGGAGATTTTCCAACCTTTAACTGCTTAATAGCTAAACCAATTTCCTCCACAGTAATTAATCTATTCATCCCATTTTGTTGTTCCTCTGAGAGTTTAGGAAAATGCACAGATTGTAAGTATTTGTCTATATCCACACCCTTTATGTTATCACTTGAATATAATTTTGTATAAAAATCTAAAAAACTCTTTTGGATCAAATTTTGCTGAAAAACCTCAGTACCTTTATATTTTACTTTCTCTATAATTCTAGCTTTCTGTTTCTTTTGTAACTGATAAGCCAACCATCTCCCAGGCTTATTCGCGTTACAGAAAGTATTATGTCTCATATACGACAAATTAGTAGCCACCTGATCTGCCATCAACATATTAAATTGTTCCTTAAGCATCTTTATAGATACCTTTAAATTATTGTCAGTTGGATTAAGAACAAACTCTTGTTCTTTTAATTTAATCTCTTCTTCTATTTCTCTACGTCTTTTTAATCCTTTTTCCCTAAAAACCTTATTCAATTGAATCAAAATTCCCCTCATATATGCCTTACTGGAATCCCAAACCATGGACATCGATGTTCCCTTATTCATGTTTATAGCAAAAAAGTCCTTTAAATGCTCTTTACATTTTTGTACAAACTCTTCCCGAGTAAACAAATTCTCATTCAATCTCCAGGGAGTGGAAAACCTTTCTTTGTTTCTGTGGCACATTTAAGCCATTAACATTCCAGGTCAGGAGCCTGGCCATCTCCACTGGCCTGGAGCCTCTGGAGCATGGCCTGCAGATCCACTGTCGAAGATCTTTTGGGTCTTGCCCCTCCCACAGGCTCTGTAATAACCATGCCTTCAACTTTATCTCCACTCTTCTGCTGCTGCTCTTTTTCTTTACGTTTATGGGCAGCTCGTGTCATCCTTTGTTCTTTTATCTCAAAATTCTGTACAGCTTGTTCCATAACCATCATTGATGAGGCTCCTGCCATAACAGGCTCTTCCATTATCCTTGTTTGTGGGGGTGAAGACGATCTTGCCTTTAAAATAAAATGATAAAAATCTCTTGCCTTCAGAACTGTAGTTAATCTATGACGTATCCCCTCATAATTCACTATTATTCTTCTTGGAATCTCCCATCTAAACTGGATTTGACGATGCTTTAACTCATCAGACAGAAGAGCAAAGTCTTTTCTGCCTCTTAAAATTTTGGGAGGTATTTCTTTTAAAATTATCACATCTTGGTCTGCAATTTGAAACTTTTGTTTGTAAAAAGCCTGTATAATTTCATTACGAGTAAATCTTCTAGAAAAGTAGATGACCACATCTCTTGGTAAGTTTCTCTGTCTAGCAACCCGTGAGTTGACTCTAAAAAATTTTTCTATCTCATTCCCGATTATTTCAGGCCTCCAGCCCAGATTAAGAGCGATATCTTTCACAATAAGCATCTTTAAGTCCTCCTGAGGATTCTCTCTCAGCCCCCTGATACGCAATGCATACTCCATCTCTCTATATTGTGACATGATTTGTTCATCCTGTGTGATTTCTATCTTATTCTCCACCTCCTCCATCCTGGATTCCATTCTTATTGCATTTTCATTAATCTCCTCGATCCTGTCGTCAATCCTTTCTATGTGCAGAGCAAGGCCCTGAAAGGCAAAAAGTATGTCCTCCCTTATTTGCTTATTTTTAGCCTCCAATAGTTCTTCTGTAACTGCCCTCTCTGCAATTATAAGATCTTTTACTTCCTCCTTAATATCCAAAGCATGCTTTTTTAAAAGCTTCTTGTAAATCTTTAAGAGAAATTGCAGGAGGAGGAGAGGGTGGAGGTGATTTTGGTTTCTGGGAGACAGGCTGGGTCATTGGGGAAGAGATAGTAGCTTTAGGAGGAGGAGGCAAACGTTTTGAAGCCATTTTCATTAAGTTCTAAGAAGAAAGATTCTTGTTTAAAAAAATAAAAAAAGGAAAAGAAAAAATCACAGTTCTTTTAAATATTCCTTAAAAAAGAAAAAAGATTACAGAGAAAAAAGAAAAAACAAGAAATAAAAAGACAAATTCTTACTTCTATATTTGAAGCATTAGTCTATATCCGGATTTTAACTTTGAAATGCAGATCAAACAAGAAAGACACAATCGCCATTTTGCCTTTCACTTTCCCTTTCTTCAAAAGGGAAAGTAAACAAAAAAAGAGGGGGAAGATGCTAGTCACAATAAATCTTAAATCCACTTTCTCCTGGTCTGCTCCGTCTGCATTTGAATACTCACAAGCCTCCAAAAAAAGCAGATGTGGGAGCAACGCCTTGCTTCATCCCAGAACTTCGGGACAAAGACGTCCTGGAATGCGGAGTTGGCTCAGGCTCCGAGGGAGCTCTACCCTCCGATCCCTGAAATTATGGGGATCCAGGGGAGCTCTTACCTCTACCTGAGCAGCTCTTCTCTTCCCTTTCTCCCAGGGAAGAGATTCAAGCCACAGGACAGCTGATTGTAAAACTCCTGCTGCTTTTACACAACCCAGGAACGGGCTGCTTTGTGAAAAGCAGCCATCGTAGCTGCTTGATCCACAGGAAGCCTCTAACAAAATGAAATTCAATGGTGAAAAAAATAAGGTTCTACATTTAGGCAAGAAAAACCAAATTCACAGGTATAGTAGAGGTGTTACTTATATTGTAAAAGGGATTTTGGAATCCTAGTGGACAATCATTTAACTATGAGCCAGCAGTGTGCTGCAACTGCCAAAAAAAGTTAACACAGTGCTAGGCTGCATTAACAGAGGGATAGAATCAAGATCACATGAAGTGTTAATACCTCTTTACAATGCCTTGGTAAGGTCACACTTGGAGTACTGCATCCAGTTTTGGTCACCATAATGTAAAAAACATGTTGAGACTCTAGAAATAGAGTGCAGAGAAAAGCAACAAAGATGATTAGGGGACTGGAGGCTAAAACATATAAGGAACGGTTGCTGGAATTGTGTATGTCTAGGGTGACATGATAGCAGTGTTCCAATAGCTTGGGCTGCCACAAAGACGAGGGAATCATGCTATTCTCCAAAGCACCTGAAGGCAGGACAAGAAGCAACGGATGGAATCTAATCAAAGATAGAAGCAACCTAGAACTAAGGAGAAACTTCCTGACAGTTAAAACAATTAACCAGTGGAACAACCTGCCTCCAGAACACTGGAAGTTTTAAAGAAGAGTTTGGATAGTTATTTTTCTGAAATGGTATAGAATTTCCTGTCTGATCAGGAGGTTGGACTAGTTGACCTCCAAGGTCCCTTCCAACTTTTTATTGTTGTAATAGCAGTTAGACTTATATACAACTTCACAGTGCTTTACAGCCTTCTCTAAGTGGTTTACAGAATCAGCATATTATCCCCCAACAATCTGAGTCCCCATTTTACCGACCTCGGAAGGATAGAAGGCTGAATCAACCTTGAGCTGCTCAGAATCGAACTCCTGAAGTGAGCAGTGAGTTAGCCTGCACTATTGCATTCTAATCACTGTAACATCACGGCTCTTGCAATGCACTCAATAAAGAATTCCATTGTAGGAATTAAATAGGACTAAATGATGTAAAAATGTATTTGATTAAAATACTCTTTATGTGAGAAACATCCAGAAAATAAGAATTGGAAGAGAATGTTTATTAGATAGTTGTGCCTCAGAGGTAATTTTTTAAGTATATGACCCTATACGCATGTCTGTGCTTTTTAAAATATATGTATATCTATATACTACAGAACTCCACTCCACTATGCCGCTGCCAATTGTAATTACAAGTGTCTGTTTGCCCTTGTGGGTTCTGGAGCTAGTGTAAATGACCTTGATGAAAGAGGTTGTACACCAATACATTATGCAGCTGCATCAGACACTGATGGAAAGTAAGTATGACATTCTTTTTGAAATCACAACTTTATTATTATAGCTTCTCACTTGGACATAAACCTGATTCACATCTGAACTTTCTTTTGGCTAAAAAGAAATATGTTTTGCTATAAATATTTAACATCATGTTTAATATTTGCATAAGGCAGTACAGTAATACTTCTCTTCCAAACAGGTTTTTTGACAGATTACTTTATATTTAAAAGAAAAATACTTTTAAAGAGAGCAGCCTATTGTAATAGTAATGTTACTCTCCTGCATATTTAAACTGTGTGATTATGAAGCATTTATATGTTATCAAAGAAAAACCAATTCCTATTATTAAAGTATATGACACATTAAGAAAAAAAATTCCATGTTGATTATTTTTTTTGTTAAGATTTGTATTGTAAAATATAATATACAAAATTGTAATTGAAACACAGATCTTACTCAACCTTCTCTCCTCTCAAATTGTGCTAACCAATAGCTTCTATGATTCTCAGCATAGTTTGGCAATCAAATATTAATTATATAGTTACATAATCAGATAATAATGATATAGTATAGCTTTTTTACCAATGCAATTATCCTGCTCAAACTTTCCAGTAAAGAAAACAAGGTAGAAGCAAAGTCTCATTTGTTTGTTCTTAATTCTACTGTTTCCAATATTTTTTTTTTTAATGTAGATTAACTAAGTCATCAAAAGCTTTTGTGGGCTACTTGTTTTTAGATTTCCATATTGTGACTGCTGAATATGCAAAGAACATTGGTTCCTGTTGATGACAAATACATGCATATTATTTAAATTAAAAGAATATTACATTTACAGGAACAAATTATTTGCAATATTGTTGATAATTGTGATTGATTAGATAAGTATTTTTCAAACTTGAAACGTAGATTAGATCCTTTAGAATGCAGGGACATAGTATTATACGTAAGAAAATAAGCTTCAGTATATAATCACTTCACAGACCTAGAAAACTTGTAAGAAAATACTACTCTAGGTCGGATTAGATCTGCATCCCCAGCAATATAAGTCTTTGCCATATTTCATAATACCATCATCTGGGCATGGGAGAAGATTCAAAAATGACTATTTCATGTTAGGCTGTTCCTTCCCATTGAATAATTATATTAAAATTCTATTTATTTTGTTTAGGTGCCTGAAATACTTACTTCGAAATGATGCAAACCCAGGGATTCGAGATAAGCAAGGTTACAATGCCGTTCATTATGCTGCTGCTTATGGGCATCGTTTATGCCTTGAATTGGTAGGAGAAATAAATGTAAATTATATTTAGAAATAAATAATCATTGAAGGACATTACTCCGTTTTAGAAGTAAATTTTGATAAATTATTTTTAAAATTCAGAAGAAAAAAAATGGATAATTAAATTAATAAAGAAAATAAAAGTTTAGTATTGAGTTTTGGAAAGTTGCCAAATTTGGAAATCTTTATTATATATCTGTTCAAATGGATTCCAGATTATTATACCGTATCAAGCCTGTGGTCATTCTGTGCTATTTCCATGGTATCATGTAATACTTTAATTTGAATGTTATATAGCATGAGGCTCAATTTTAATCATGTTTGAATGTTTTTTTTAAAGATAGTCATAATATTAAAGATTTGATGAAATTACTGTAGTAGACAATATCATACTAAATACTACTGGAGGTGACTACTAGATTAATAGCAAACCCCACCTCCCCCCTACATTCCCTGATTCCACCTGCCCACCTTTTAATCTCATTATTCAATTTTCATTGTTTATTATATTATTTCATTATTTTGCTACTGTTATGTTTACACTTCTTTTTTTCTGTTTTTACTGTTGGAAGCCACTTAGACTAGCTCCACAATGAGATAAGCAGCAAATAAATTTAATAAATAAATATTGTATATATAGCTATTTTCATATACATTTTAAATTAGAATCTGCTTGCTTTTAAAAAAGAAAAATACAGTTATAGTTGTATCCAAGCAGTACAGATCCACTTGCTTTCTAGCAAATGGTTTGAGAATTTCTCTTAACTTCAAGGACAGTTCATAATTACCATTTATTCAGTGTCATTGTAACTTTGGATGGTTGCTCAGTGAATGATTGATTAAGCAAGAACTATCTTGCTTAATTTTAAATTGTTAGAATAACTTATCTTTTAACATTTAGACTTAACTGGTATTAAAATTGATTTCATTACAGATTGCCAATGAAACACCTTTAGATGTTGTAAGTACAAGAATCTTAGCTCTGGAAATCTTTATTATAAATATTCTGAAGTGTTGAAATCAAATTGAGAAATCAAAAATACTTCATTAAACAATATAAAGTATAATTCTATTAAAAGTTTTTCAGACTGCACATTCATTCATATGTATTGTCTCCAGCCTTTCGAAACAGCTTTCAATTTTTCTGGTTGCTGGGAAAGGTACTTCTCCAATACTGGGAAAATACATTGTTGCTATAAAGAGATGTAGAAAGGTGCTATGTTTTGTATTCTGACATCCAACTAGCAGCTTCTTACAATAGAATCCAAAGCATCTAAGATTATTATTCCCCAGATAGCTAAAAACACCATGCAACAAGTCTTCCATCCACCCACTTGCCTATCTAGTCATCTACATTTGTCATGTAATGTTTGGATTTTTTTTTTTAGCAAAGACAGTTGTATTTTACAGAGTAAGCCTTGATATTACTTATCTATTAATTAAGATGGAATATTAGGTATTTATGTTAAATTGATTGCATTATTAACTGTATTTTTATTTAGTTAATGGAAACATCAGGGTCTGACATGCTGAATGATTCAGAGAACAGAGCACCAATTAGTCCATTGCATTTAGCTGTAAGTACTCAATTTATCCAATATTCAATGTAGGATTATGTAAAGCTACCTGGTATCTGTCTGATTTAATATTTACAATTCAATAATTATTTTCCTTCGCTAACATCTAAGATATGTCTTTATTTATTTATTTTTTTGTTTAGGCCTATCATGGACATCATCAAGCTTTGGAAGTATTAGTGCAGTCTTTGTTGGATCTTGATGTCCGGAACAATAATGGAAGAACACCTTTGGATCTTGCAGCTTTTAAGGGACATGTTGAATGTGTGGATGTACTCATTAATCAGGGAGCCTCTATCTTGGTAAAAGACTATGTTATAAAGAGAACACCAATACATGCTGCTGGTAAATACATAGTTTTTATATCATAGTGGAAGATTATTTTGCAGATAGAAGCATGTTTATGGCCCCTCCTTTCTCTAAACTGTTTTCATTCCAGCAGGTCCATTATAGAAATGTTTTAAGCATTTGTGTCTTAGTATAATTTTCATCCTTTTCTTCTTCTTCTTTTTATTTATGTAGATGTGTGTGTGTGTATGTGTGTGCGTGTGTATTTGTAAGCCTATATGCAGAAAATCTTACTGTATTGTTTACATTTACAACACTATACAAGAATTTCAGTTTAAAATGCTTTAAACATTTTAAAATATTTAAAATAATGATAATATTTTTCTTGTCTTTGTCTTGAGTGCAAAATAAAATACATTTGTTAATATACTTTTCTCTCAAAAATGCATAAGAGTAAACTGTTCTTGTATACAGGAAATCCTGCTAATTTATGCTACAGTCACATAATTCTATATTTAAAAGAAATCGGTTTATTTAATTTTATTTCACTGATTTGAATCTGGGCAGCTTACAATATAGCAAAAGCAAGATAAAAGCACAATATAAAATAGATTAAAAAGATGATAATCTGTCTGCTTGGCAAAAAAAATGTACAAAATATACATCCAGCAAAAGTTTTCACAAATACCTCATCCAAGCCCTGGGTCTGGGAGAACAATCAGATCTTTAAGGTCTTCAGGAACTCCATCAAGGTAGGAGTCATGTGGATCTTAGGGGGCTTCATTCTAGAACACCAGTATCATTGTAGAAGGCATAATCCCTGGCTCCCAGTAGATGGCACTTTTTAACCAAGTGGACCTGGCACATACCAGCTTGATCAATTTCTATTGGCAGAAATCATAGGAAATAAGCAGATGCTCAAATAACTTATTTCTATACCATTTTAGCTTTGTAGATGGTAACTAATATTTTGAATCACACATAGAAGCACACTGGCAACCAGAGCATATTAAATAAGGAAGTTCTATATTAAGGAATACATTTCAAAGAATTACATACTTAAAAAATATTTACATATAGTAGATTAGATACAGATATATTCAGATTTGAGGCGATCCATTAATTTCAGCATGAAAATTCGGGATTTTCATAAAACAACTGATATATCAGTGTGATAGCTATCACATCTTAAATATTTTTTAGATAAATCAAGGTTTTTTATGGCTATATATTTTAGATATTCAACTTATTATAAAATTGATAAATTACACAAGTAGAAGTAACTCTTCAAAACAGACTTGTTCTTAATCACTGGTTATGATTACTATTTGTTGATGGTATTTTGCAGCTACAAATGGTCATTCAGAATGCTTGCGGTTGTTAATTGGAAATGCAGAACCACAGAATGCTGTGGACATTCAAGATGGAAATGGACAGTAAGTTTCAAATAATTGTATCTAAAGTGAGGCAAATTGCATAGTGGAATTATCCATTGCAGATAACTATGTAATATAACTATAAAGTGTATCATAACCTTTTTAATGTATATATTAGTATGAATTGTTATATCAAATACATAAAACAATTGTTATATATTATATATTATTACATAATGTAATATAAATTACAGAATATCATTATTATTCTGATTATATACTGCCTTTTTGTGGGGGAGTTTGAGGTGGCTTCAGTAAGAGTCTCCCTAAATTATAACAATTATGAGAAGGCATGTTTGGCTTAAAGTCATCAGAATGTTCCATGGTCGATACAGAAATGACTCATGCACTAATAGCTGTGATAAGGGACTCCAGTCCAAGAAAAGCCACAATTAGTGGAAGAGATGATTCTGTATAAAGGCCTTTCTGGTCATGGCTATCCTTATTCAAAGTAAGGAAGAATTCCTTGATGGAATTACACCAGCTCCATTGCCAAGACAGTAAGGAGTAGCATATATTTTAAGTCCACAACAGCCAAATAAAGTTTGGAAGTAGGTCACCCAAGACACTTATCTAATTCGCTAAACCAGATATGTCAAACACAAGGCCCGGGGGCTGGATGCGGCCCAGTAGGCCGCACCCACCCTCACCATATACCCACCCGGCCCCCCAATGGCAACCGCAATGCTGATGCCCTCAGTGAAATTGAGTTTGACACTCCTGCACTAAACTGTAAGTTCCAACTACTATACAATATAATCAAATTTGCAAAATTCTGTAATCATAGCGACTCTCGATAAAAGCAGTTTTAGCTTTCCTGTGAATTGATGTATTAGTTTAGTTTACCTCATTTGGTTGATATCACCTGCTAATTGAGTAGGTGCTACAAGTTAAGGAAAAGCCCAAAATTACACACCAGTTCTGTCAAAGTGTATGCAACCCCATTTAGAACTAAAGATGACAAATCCATGATACTAAAGGAATTGGGAACATACTGCCACTGAGTTTTGTCACAGATGACTTTAAATCTGTTCCTTCCCATTCAGATTCTAAACGTTTTCAGGCACCGGGATAGATACGATCTCAACAGCATAACTTAGTAGACCCAGGGTCAAGATATACAGCTGAATATTATCAGCATAATGATAAGACCCTTTGTTGATGGTTGATCTCATCTAGACCTTAAACAAGAGGCTGCAAAATAATCAACACCTATGATATTCCACAAATCAGAGATCCAAAGCTCAGCCTCTATTTCCCTGCAAACACCAATTGGAACTGACTGTACAAAGCATAAAAACTATTGCAGCATTGTGCCCCCCATTCTTAAACCTTTCAGTCAGTTCCAGATGTATACACAATTGACTGTATTAAAAGAGCCAAGAAAAACTGGATAGTTGCAGCACTTCTATCCTGCTTCCTGCAGGAAGTCAAAAGTGTAATCATTAGTTTCTCTGTATGCTATCCAAGCCTTAATCACAATTGAAAAGGGTCCAGATGCTCTCTTCCAGATCGTCTGAGGTTACAGTTTATTTACCTTTTCAACAGCCTATCCTAAAAAGGAAAGATTGGAAATTAGACATAAATGTTGAAAACTATTGGGGCCAATGGTTGTGTCATGAAAAGAGAGTACATATATTAGTAAAACAATAAAATGAACAGAATGTATAGTGACTTGGTACACTAGTTCTTTTCATACTACTTTTTGGGGTAGGGAGGGAAAAAAAAGATTGATTCCTAGTGATTTCATGGATATGTTTATGTAGTTTTCTGGTAACACTATATAAAAATGAAAAAAAATATTATATATTCTGGGATAGTTTTGAGTTTTCCTGGTCAACAACCATGATAATCTGCAGTGATCTCCCACCCAAGTAGTAAAAGGCATAAGGTTCTTTTGAGAAGGAAATGATTTGTATCATTTAAATGTACAGGACTTCGCTGTTGCAGGTTTAACAACTCTTGGATCAGGTTTCCTTGTATACTTCTCACTGCCTATTTAGGCAGGTTATGAGCATGATAATAGAACGTTGTTACTGTACATTGTATCATCTTTGTCTTTGTCTTTCAGGACTCCTTTGATGTTGTCTGTTCTTAACGGGCATACAGATTGTGTCTATTCCCTCCTCAACAAAGGAGCAAATGTAGATGCCAAAGATAAATGGGGAAGAACAGCATTACACAGAGGGGTAAGAGAGACAACAGGTGTGTCCTCCTACCCCCACCCTGCTCTTTGCTTCAATAGGTAGCATTGCTGCAGTTCCAACTAAGGTAACAGAAATATTATGTTGGATCCAGACTAAGCAGGTGTCTTTGAAATCATAACTTCTAAATGCAATTAATTGTGCTAAAATGTATTGCAACTAACTTAGTCTAAATCCAGTTCTGTATTAATCTATATTATTCATAGTGAATGTATAAATCTTATATTTTTCATTCCTATACTTTAAAAAGTATAATTTACATTACCATGGAAGTGTCTCTTCAAAACAATTTTCTACTGTATCTTCAATGTATTATTTTATTCTTTAGAAATATTCCATCTGTATCCAACTTCATATTTTCATCACAATTAGTCTGGCAGAATATATTTTCTCTTATTTCAGATTCTCTTTGCCATCAGCCATAAGGGATTAAAGTGCTGTAATGGGCAACTTAGTTTCTAGGGAGCTACTGATAAGAAGGGAAAATAGACTACCAAGAGCTGGAATTCAATAGTAGGCATTGACAAACATACAGAAAATTGTTCTTAACACTGCTTGCATCTGTGAGATAGAATAAATTGCTAAATATGTTTTATTTTTTATTTCAGAATCTCACCATTTATGGAACTGATAATTTATAACATAAGGATATTGCCCAAAACTTCTTTATTTTCTTATATTAAATTCTGTGTGGTATCCTAGGCTGGGGAAAAGAACTAAAGCAATACAAGAAAATATATTTATCAGAAAACAGAATGGACATTTATTAAAATGATACTCTTAGCAAACAATAATTAGACAAGAATCTTAATATTTAAGAGTACATTACTAGGGCAATTGATAGGAAGCAATTCTATGCCTTGAATGTCAGGACTGAAGATCTTAAACCTTTGTCCATAGCAGGACAGGAAATTTGTCCAAAGCAAAAGTACTTCTAAAGTTGGAGAATCAAGTCAAAGCTATACTTTTGATTTGATTATATATCATCTACAATTTAGTGTAGATGTTTTAGTATAATCCAGGACATCAGCCTGAATATAATTGTTTAGGTTTTAGCTCAGATGTGTATGAATGTATTTGATTAAAGGCATGGTCAGCCAGATAAACTATGGAACAAAATAGATTAATCACAAGATCACATCTGACTTTTTATATCCACAGCTGTCTACCTTTGCTCCGTTGTACTCTCTGAGCGTGTGTGTGTGTGTGTGTGTGTGTGTGTGTGTGTGTGTGTGTGTGTTAGCCAACTAGGTAATATTTTCAATGCACTAGAAGATCTTTAATGCAGTAACATCACCCTACTTAGATAATTAAAGGTCTGCATGAAAATAGCCAAGCTCAGAAAGCACCAAGAACTCCATAGTTCTACCCTGAGCTATAAATATTCTCTTCTATTGGTAGCTTTGCTCCTTTATTGATATAAAAACTAATAAACAACTATATTGCATATTAGTTTTTATATTAATAAAGTAGCTGTAGTAAAATAGCTGAAAGCTGGTTGGATAGAACAGCATTTTTATTTTTTTTATATCTACAAGTGCCTATATGCATAATGCACATTTTTAAAATTTTTTCTCAGGCTGTTACTGGGCATGAGGAATGCGTAGAAGCACTGCTTCATCATGGTGCAAAAGCCACCCTACGAGACTGCAGAGGACGTACACCTATACATTTATCTGCTGCTTGTGGACATATTGGGGTATTAGGAGCACTCTTACAATCATTGTCATCTGGGGATATGATACCTGCTCTGACAGACAATCAGGGATATACATCATTGCATTGGGCATGTTACAATGGTAAGAAAAGAACTATTGTTTCGGAGGGAAAGTGGAAGAAAATAAATTAAATTCCTAAAATGCTACAGGAATGAAAAGATTCTTGCCAAAAGCAGTTGTATGTTTCCAGGCGCTTGTTATGTTGATATGTATATATGAAATCTCTTCAAAATATTGTAAAGTGATTAGTCATAGAATATATAATCAGCAAATTTATAAAAAAGCAACCAATTATGAAGCTTAGGCAGATTTTAAATATCTAGAAGTAAAAAGGAATATAAAAACCTACACATGTACAACCTCACTTTTGATTTTATCCTATAATTATTGCTGCTGAATATCTGAAATACATATGCACACACATATCCAAATAATGGATGAGCAGTGTGGTGGCCTAGTGATGAAGCTGCTTGCCTCCCACACGGAAGGTTGCAAATTTAATCCAAGGTAGCAGCAGATGCTTCTCTCTTAGGGAACAAGAAATAAACATCTGTTGTGAACTCTGTATGGCGTTAGGAAGGGCATCCGGCCATAAGTGCTCAGCTCCATTCAGTTGCCCAGACTCTACCCCAAATTAAGGGATTACAGTGTTATAAAAAAGGAGTTTTTTATACCAGGATAGTTATATATTGCAGCGAGTTATATGTATATATATTCCTTAATAATAAAAAATGAATTGTATTGTGTGCTTACCCTCTGGTATTTAAAACTTTTAGGTCACGACTATTGTGTGGAATTTCTTTTGGATCAGGAAGTTTTTCAGAAAATGGAAGGAAATTCTTTCAGTCCATTACATTGTGCAGTGTAAGCAAATTCTGTACGACCCCAAAATACTTCATTATATCTTTTATCAAACTTTGGTTGTGGAATTAATTTCTTTTAAAATTCTTTGATAGGATAAATGATAACGAGGGTGCTGCTGAAATGCTAATTGATATACTGGGATCAGGAATTGTAAATTCTACAGATGCAAAGGCAAGGTAAAGTTGGAAATACTATACAAGAAAAATACTAAGTATGTTAATTACCCTAGTCCAGGGGTAGGCAACCTTGGCTCTTTTATTCCTGTGCTGGCTCAGGAATTCTGGGAGTTGAAGTTGAAGTCCACGAGTCATAAAAGAGCCAAGGTTTCCTACCCCTGCCCTAGCCTAAGTAAGGGAGACTGTCAAGATACTTATCTAGTGACTAGAGGCTAGATGGGGAGAAACAGACTATGGCTCAATCTTGACATAACAGTGACTCCACCTCCCTCCTCTGACAGAGATATCTCCATTGTTGGTCTTGGATGATGTTGTACTTCTCCATTGAAGACTGATGCACATTTAGGGGTCCTCCTGAAACTATAGCTACTGTTCAAAGAGCAGGTATCAATTGTGGCTAGGAGGCCTTTGTACAGATACATCTTATGCACCGATTGCATTCTTTTTTTGGCCTGCAGATAGTCGCTCACATTTTGGTCATCTCACAACTGCGCTACTGCAGCATGCTCTATTTGGAATCTATAATTGGCTCACAATGCAGCAATACAAGCAGTAATGGGCACTTGTGTCATTACTATTATATGAACTAAATTAGCTGCTAATTGGCTGCTGGGTGCAATTCAATGTGCTGGTTGTTATCTTTAAAATCCTTCATAACATAGGATCTGGTTACCTGAGGGAACATCTTTCTCCCATTGTTTATTCCCCCCCCCCATATTCAGGCAGAGTGGATGTATTCTAGGTCCCTTTTATTAATTGCTCCCATCTTGTGGAATCTAGGCAGCATAGCCTTTTCCGTCACAGTCCCAAAGAGATATGAATGGCATCCTCTCTGCTGATATTAAAAAAAAAATAAAATCTTAAAATCTTGGTTTGTTCCTAGGCTTTATATATAATTTAGTATTATATTTTGTAAACTACCCAGAGTTGGTGAGTGCTATAATATAAATATTTATTCTGGATGTGAGCAGCATCATGAGTTGCAACATTTTATATTTTTTTTGTGTTCTTCCCTTATGTTCTTCCAAATTCAAATTAAACTTTTTAGATATTTTTAAAGATTTATTAATATAGGTTCTCCTTCTATATAAAATCATGGCTGTATTAGAGTTACATTGATTCTTGGTTCTAAGATCATGTTTCTTTTCCTTCTTAGAACACCTCTCCATGCAGCAGCCTTTACAGATCACGTAGAGTGTTTACAGCTTTTGCTTAGCCATAATGCACAAGTAAACTCTGTAGATTCTTCTGGGAAGACACCTTTAATGATGGCTGCAGAAAATGGGCAAACAAATACAGTTGGTAAGACAAAAGCTAATTTTTATTATTACTGTTAGCCAATAATATATTACTGTAAAAAAACAGCATTAGAATCAAACATTTTAAATAAAAAGTACCTAGGTCAGCCCAGAAATTCAAGCAAACAATATTCTCTATTTTTTAATAATCGAATTGGATTTATAGCTAAAAATGTAAAGCTTTGTATAAGCATATTGTTCCTTGAAGTAGAATTAACAAATCCGTGTAGCGAAAGTCTGACAACCTGTGGATGACAGCAAAGAGACACAGGCAGTTCTGATTCTTTGCTACCATCTAATGGTCATTGTTGCTGGCCAGATCTAGTAGTCTTACATAGAGTTGTGAAATTAAAAGAAACTGGTTAGACTTTGCTCAGAAGGTAGCTGCCCAGCCTCCACTTGAAACTGTTATAGATCTTTCCATCAGCAAATCTTTTCTTACAATTGTACTTAAAGGTTTGTAAATCCTTTTGAATATTCAGTATCTCTGCATAAATTTGACCCAAAGTTATATAGCACACAAATATGTAGGTTGGAAAATAATCCAAAGTTACATATTTTCTGTGGCAAAATTATGGAATAATCTATGATTATCATTTGAATGGGAAATTAAAACTCTTTTAAATAATGAAATGATAAGTTTGAGTGTGAGAGATCCTGCCTTATTTAAAGAACAGAATTCTGGGTATATTCACTATCAAAATCTGATCTTCATAACTCAGGAATATGGAGGTGTGCCAGGGCTGAAACAAAACAGATTTCAGTGGATCTCTAAAAAACAGTTGCTGGAAAGCGTGACCAAATTGTTTACAAAGATTTTGGATTTGACCAGTTCATCATCATCCAGATCATGTACAAATGAAGGCAATTCAACAACATTGAATTCTCTAAGAATTCAACTAAGATCACATCAAGAGCAAAATGTGTAGTATTTTGGGAGATGTTTATCTTTATCTGTGACTTGTACCAAGAACATAGCACATTTTAGGCCATTGTGCAGAAATACTGAAACAAACTTTTAAGCACCACTGTATAGTGAAGTAAACCTAAATATACTGTAGGTAGTCCTCAGTTTTCAGTGGTAATTGGGACCAAGAACTCTGTGGGTAAAATACAACATCACAAGATAGTGGCAACTTATGATAGCAGTTCCAGTTGTAAATCATTAAGTGAATCCCACCCAGTTATGAATATGATGACATGTGATTGCCATTTGCGCCCTCTTGACAGCTTCCCCATTGACTTTGCTTGTTGAAAGCCAGCACTGAAGGTTGCAAATAGCAATCATATGACAATATGATGCTGTGACCATCATAATCATGAGCAGTTACCAAGCATCTAAATTGTAATCATATGGGAACATTGCAACAAATACAATTTTGAGGACCAGTCATAAGTCTCCTCTTCTGACCCAAGACATGCAAATGGCAATAGGTGCGAGCAGAGTATGTTTATTAAACAACTACCTTGCTAAAGTAATTTCCCCAAAAAACCTCAAGTTACAAAACCCCAAACTAGTAGATGGTCTCCAAATGCAAGAAGTTCAATAAGTTAATCCCAAAACAACAGATGTAAAACTCAGACGAGCAATGGAACAAAGCCAATAGGTTGTTCTACAAATTTCAAAAGATACATACACCTTATAACAAGTTCCACTAGACAGTCCAGCAGTGAGCAGTCTTAAGTTGAAGTCCCAAGAACTGCAGAACTGACAAGACAAATCCAAACTCCAGGAGAGCTGGGTACTGGAATCGCAGAGCTGAAGATGTTATATGCTGATAAAGTGAATGGCTGTCTCCAATGCCATCCCACACACCTGGTTAAATAATTCCAAATACAGTGTTTCTCATTAGGAGGGACGAGATTGCTTCCTCGCAAGTAGCTGCCTCTGTGCTTCCCTTTATTTCTCTCTTCATGTCCGTGGATTGGGTAGGTGTAGCAGCTGTTCTTCATTGGAGGCAGCCTTTTGCCACTCTAGAGCACTAACTGGCAGCAGCTGTGTCTCTGTTTCTTTTGCTTCTGTGAGTGGCTATTCATCTGGTGGGTCGCTTCCCCTGATGCTTGACGATCTGAGATTCTTAGCCACTGGGTTCTCTGAGTGCTCCTGGGAATCCATGGTAACCCCTATCTCAGTGATGGCGAACCTTTTAGAGACCGAGTGCTCGAACTGCAACCCAAAACCCACTTATGCATCGTCGGGTGCCGGGTGGATGTGGCCCATTGGGTGGGTGTGGCCCATTGGGTGGGTGTGGCTGCAGTGGTAACAGCAGACTGGGTGGGACTAAAAAGTTCAATCAATCAATTCCAACTTTGCAAGATTTTTTTTTTCCACGAGAAGTTGAAATTGACTGACTGATTGAACTTTTTTTTTTTTTGTACATGGCAGTGGAGGCCTAAAGGGAAAAGGTTTTATAAAACCCAGCTGAAGGCCTAGGACTGGGGCAACGGCACGCGTGCCCACAGAGAGGGCTCTGAGTGCCATCTCTGGCACCCGTGCTATAGGTTCGCCACCACTGTCCTATCTGATGACCCTGGTTCCAGTTCATCCTCATCATCAGAGCTAACAACCGATGGGGCCATCCCATCTCCTCTTTTAAAGTCTCATAATTTTGAATGGTAGCTGACCAAACAACAGAATGAACCGAGAACTACCTATAGTTGCAATTTTTAGACCTTATTTCTGTTCCTACTTTCTGGTCGCAGTGCACAATATTTCCTGACTATCATCCCTATAGCACTTTTAATATATCTTAATATTAATTT